AAACTTTATATACAGTGTATGTATGCAGGACATATGTTTGCTTCTTTGCTTTATATATATATATATATATATATATATAAATATACAGTGCCGTGAAAAGGTTTTTGCCCCCTTCCTGTTTTTTACAGTTTTTGCATATTTGTCACACTTAAAAGATTCAGATCACCAAACAAATTTTAATATCACAGAAAGATAATGCAAGTAAATACAAAATGCAGTTTTTAAATTATGATTATTAAGGGGAAAAAACTGTCCAAATCTACCTGGCCCTACGTGAAAAATTAATTGCCCCCTCCTGTTAAATCATGAAAGAACTGTGCAGGTTCTGCTCACTCAGAGACACCAGTTTTCCGGTCTTCCTGAACATCTGCCCCTCCATGGCTCCAGTAGTGCTGAAAGCCCAGCAAGAACCACACTCACCCTGGAAATATCACATATGAAACCGTTTAGACCAGTTGATGATCTGAATCATTCAAGTGTGACAAATTAAAAAAAAAAAAAAAAAAAACAGGAAGGAGGCAAGAACTTTTTCACACCACTGTGTGTGTGTGCTATTATATACATGAATACTTAATACACGCACGTATTGTTAATATAAAATATATTAATAATTTGTGTGTTAATTTTGTCAATTAATTGAAATAAAACAAGATTAAACGGTTTTTAAGATTATAAAAAAACAACTTAGTCAAATGAGTCCACATTTTATATTATTTGCTATATTCACCAGTATAGGTGTATAAAAGTGTCTAGTGGGGAAAAAAGGAATTTGTCTTTTGCAAGATCAGACGGCACTATACCGTAAAATTATTGGCCTACTGTTAGCATATATTTGCAAGCTGCCACTGTCTATTTCTGATAAATCACCTGATTTCTTACATAATTTCCAGCATCTTATCTATTATATAACAGCTCTTCAAACTCCTAAAAGCTTTTCCGAGAAAAGCATCCAGCCTTAAAGGGGTCATATGATGCGATTTCATTTTTTCCTTTCTCTTTAGAGTGTTACAAGCTCTTGGTGCATAAAGAAGATCTGTAAAGTTGC